CTATCTATCTATCTATCTATCTATCTATCTATCTATCTATCTATCTACCTATCTATCTAAATCTCAGATCCTTCAAGGAAGAAAATAGTCAACATAGGCATGGTGGCCAGCCTTCCCTTCTCTGCGCTTTTGAGTGGGGCAACCCCTCGGCTCGGGTTTGGGTAAGCACCCTTACCTTGGCCAGTGGCTGGAGAAGCCGTTTCTGGCAGCTTTCCGGGCTATGGCTCACAGGGAAGACACCCTAGCCCAAGAACTTGCTGACTTTGGTGCTGAGGCTGTTTCTCCATTTATCTAGAACCATATTTCCTCACCTGAGACACAGGGCAGGTCCATTGCAGTATCCTGAATAACCAAACCTCTGCCTTTGGCAAAACTTTGGTTACCTACAATGGCATGATCCAAAAAAAAAAAAAAATTAAATAGAAAATTCTAGGAATAGGAAATTTTCAAGTTTTAAATTGTGTGTTATTTTGAAGAGATGACAGAATCTCTACCACCCTACCTAAGACATGAATGATTGTTTGCCTTCGTATCCAAGCTGTATACATCACCTGCCCGTCAGCCACGTAGTAGCCCTCCAGGTCATCAGACTGATCTCATTGTTTGTGGTCATGTAACCAGACTTGACTTGATCCCTAAGGTCAGGCCTGCTGCTGCTGGAACTCCTAAAACAATAGCTTCTCATGACTGCTGCAGCGTATATTCATTTAAGATGTGTTTCATTCTCTGGGCAGGTACAGGGCTCAAGATTTGGCCTTAAAGGCAGGAAGAGGCTGTAATGGTGTAATACCGTGCCATGGGCTGGCTCCCTAACTGGATAAAAGGAAAAAAAAAAATGCACATAATAGCAAGGCATTACATCTCTGACCAGGTGCAGTGGGACCAGACACCCCATTCATTCATTCTTCTACAGTCCTGACTGCCCTTCCGTGATGGAGCCTGCCTTCAAACCACGGTCAAATTAACCCTTGCTACCTTGCCCAGTTTTGAACCAGCAATGAGCAAAGTACTCAGTGCAATCACTGAGAGACCAGACCGAGAGGAAAAAGGAAGGAGAGAAGACAAGGTTGAGGGGTTACTACACACAGATGGTAGCTGGAGAGAAGGAAGTACAGCCACAGCACCCAAGAGCTCTGGGTCATGATGACAAGACAAGTGGGTGAAGAAGAAACTGAGACAGAGCAAGGGTGGGAATCCTGCTCAAATGAAAAAAATTATAACAGGCTGAGCGCCGTGATGCACGCCTGTAGTCCTAGCACTTGGGGAGGCAGAGGCAGGCAGATCTCTGTGAGTTCAAGGCTAGCCTGGTCTGCAAAGCGAGTCCAGGACAGCTAAGGCTACAAACCCTGTCTCAAAATATATATACATATTTACACACATATATATATGTGTGTATATGTATATATATACACATATATGTATATATGTACACATATATATGCATATATGTGTGTACATATATATGTATATCTATGTGTGTGTGTATACATGTATATATATCAGGAAATTCCCCAAGTCTGGGAAAAGAAAGGACATTTAAGTACACTAGGTATTCTGGAACCCCACATAAACACTACAGGAAGAGAACGTCTCGCGTCATATTGTAGCTAAAGCCAAGAAACCAGAACAAAGAAAAAGCCTTGGAGGCTGCAGGAGGAAAGCCACTTGGAGCAGCGAAGTTCCCAGAATAAGGCACAGCTGACGGCAGAAGCCCCAAGCACAAGGACGTGTGTGTGGAATGCAGTCCCCAAACAAGGAACTGTCAGCCAAGAGCTCTACCCAGCAAAGCTATCCTGGGGCACCAAAAGGGAAGTCAAGAACTGGGATGACACGCGCTAAAGGAATTCTTCCTCACTAAACCGCAGTGGAGGGGGTGGGAAGACAACACACACACACACACACACACACACACACACACACACACACACACA